TTCGAGAAAGAACGTGGTTTTATTATTGTTATTATTATTCTTGTTGTCGCGTGCACACTTTATTCATGTTGTATTTGTGATTAAATTAGATAGATGATTCAGCTGTCAATATTTTTTTTATGTAGTGCTTGACATAAATAGTATTTTGTATAAGGTAACAAAATTTTTTTAAAAAATAAAAATCTATTTGTTAAAAAATAAAAATCTATTTGTTAAAAACCTCAAAATTAACATGTCAAAATTATATCAACTTCTTAATGAATCTGTCAAAATCAACTTTTGACATAGTAAAATAACATTTTCTTACGTAACGAAGGCGTCAGAAAGAATTTTGCCAACTTTTGCAAAAACTAATAGCAAGTTCTTGCAATAAAATAACCAACTATTTCAACTTTTTTCCTTAAAAATCTTGAAGAATATCTTTCGTAATTTCTGGTGCATCTTGTTCAGTTCTTCACGAGCACCGTTACAGATCTGACCACATGTTTGTTCACGTGACACATAATCACAGATCGCAGTGTGGGTAAAGGAAATTAAGTTAATGTATATTCGTAGATAACGATAAAGTTTAAAATATTTCTCGAACGATGCGTCTTCTAATGAAATATCGTCCAATATAAATCATCATTGCTCATAGAAAATTGTCATCATCTCAGAAAAATCCCAACACCAGCTTGCAAACTTCCCCAATATGGAGTTGATTAAATTCCTAATATACAAATTAATTATAAAAAATAAAGCTAATAATTTATTTTTGATTTTCTACCACTGCAGCTATTAGACCGGTAGCTTTGATCCTGTTAACTTATCCACTGCCTAATTCAAAATAAATGTTTAGTATTATGAATATGAAAGACTATAAACTAAAACAATTCCAGCATTGCATCCCCTTACATGCGATATAAATGGTGCACTCAGTAGATTACCAATAACCGGTAACCTTCGTAGGAAACTCACTACAACTGGAAAGAAATCGCTATTATGGTGATCATATATATATATAATTATAAAAAATCACGTTATTAGCAAAAGCGTGACTCAAAAGTGTGTTCAAATGTTGTTAATAAAAACAAAAAAAAATGAACAATACCCAAATAAGTTTAAGAAGCCAAATAATTCAATTAACATTCCTATGACAGGCCATTTGAAAAATACTAAAAGTATTCCACCAAAGAAACATAATGTTCCCCGGATTTTATTTTTTCGTGCAAAGAAATTTGTCGTTTTGCTAAATCCAATTATGAAAGTTAATCCACTCAAAAATAGAATCTGTAGAAGTAATTCATCGATTATTATTTATATATAGATCATTATTATTATTCTTAAAAAAATATCGGTTATACATTAATATGACACGCGTAAGTTTAAAGATCTTGAACTTAAACATTGCTGAGTTCAAGAAACAATATTTGAATAACTTACATTCCCTATTGCCAGTAAACCACCATCGAAAAATAGCAATACCCCCAGAAACATAAAAAATACACCGAAAGCTGTAAGTCCGACACCAATTTCTGTAATCGTCATTAATAAATTTAATTTAATGTTTAGCGGATATTCCGAAAAAAGCTTACAAGGGTTTTAAATGATTTTTTTTCGCGTCACCCAATTGAATTAAATAATAATGCTATAGGCAAAACTTACTTTGTGTATCCGAAAGCCACATCTTCCTTTTACTTTAAAGATATTTACGAGAAATACGAGCAAAATTATTCAGAATCAGAGTAATGAAAACGCCAAGGGAGTAAAATATCAAAATGTGTTTTTAAAAAAATTTAGGGTTTGTTTAAATTCACAATTAAAAAAACGTGGTCAAGAGAAATTGGTAGGATTCTTGTTTGTGTAACATTCGCTCAATAGTATTTATGCCGGTTAAATATAGTTCAGAGTTGCAACTTGGGTTTTATATTGTTTCATTAGCGGTTAACAAAATACCTTTCTTTGGTTCAGAAATGCTTTCAAATATTTCGAAATTGATTTTTGGAACTTCACAAAAGATAAAGAGAAATAATGATTCGACGGAAAACAAACTCGATCTTAATAGCAGTTTAGAAATCATTCCACAAATGACTATATCTGATCCCGAAGGTATAATTAAGACTTTCTGCTGGACTAATACATCATTCAGAAGTAATCAAAAATCATTTGTCTTTAAGAGAACGGCGAAAATGATGATGGCGATACTCCTTCGGAATTCCCACTCCCTGAGGGACCACAACGCGTAAAAACAATTGTTTCGTCTTCTTCACTAACACCTATGTCAACTTCCAGTAAGCCTACGCCGTTACAAAAAGCTAACAGAAAACGTCAGAAAGTTGCCTTGGAACCAGGTCATTCGACTTTAGATTGGGCGGATCTAAAGAATAGTGGAGTTGATCTTAGGGTTAGGGTTATTTATAATACGCGATAAAGCTTTTTAATTCAATAATATATTGATGAGTGTTATTATCTTTTCCAGAACGTCCCTAAATTACGCAAGTATACTATGGAAGAATTAAGGCAGCATAGAACAGAGAATGATGCGTGGACAGCTTTAAATGGCACAATATATAATATTACACCTTATCTCAAATTTCATCCAGGAGGGAAAAAAGAATTGATGCGTTGCGCAGGTCGGGATGGGACTAAATTATTCAGTAAGCGAACATTTTCGTGTTTTTTTCTTTTTTATCTTATTTTATTTTTATTGATCTTTTGGGCTCCTTTTAGTGTCTACGCATTCATGGATAAATTATGATCTTATGCTTGATAAATGCGTGGTAGGATTTCTAATTAACGACAACGATGGACCGTCTTCACAACTTCAAGTTTAATTTTTTTTTTTGAGTATTGTATAACAATTTTATTAATGTAAGTAGCAAATCTGGGATATAGGTATTGGAGGTAAGTAAGTAGGTTGCTGTTTTCTAATTTAATAATTTATTTCGATAATGAAGGGAAGATAATTTATAGAAGGATGGGCATTAGATTTTGTTCTAGTATATATAACAAATTCACTTGAGCCTTCCTTGTTCTCTTAATTCTTGCTTTTCCTTATCGCTCAACGTCCAGAACTTATTCGTTTTTTGCGCAACCCAATTTCTTAACTTTATGTTATTGATTATTAATTAAATTTTATGATGGTGAAAAGCAAATACAAATGGTAAAAAATGCGCGTACCGGCGTATAACAATGTTCTCGTTCGCCAAAGTCAGCAAATAAAACTGTATATAAACCTACAACTAAGTATAATTGTCAATTATTTCAACACTTTTTGTTCTTAATAAAAAAAAATTCAATTCAAATATTATGTTCATTACTCCCGGTCAAGGCCATAAAAGAAAAATCAAGGATTCTTCCTTGGCGGCTATTGAAACGTTTATTTTCAATATATTCGACTCTTCTACGATATTTATCAGCTTTGTGTGGTGTCAGTTCAAAATTTCTTTCTCGGAATGGCCGCCTAATAGTAACATGTGCATAACTATTCAAGAAATTCATATTTGTCGTCGTTTTCAACGATCACTAAAAAGGGCCTTTATACGAATCCAATATGATTGGCTGATATTTTTCACAATATACTATGCCTCGTGAAGATTGGCTTCTTTGGCAATTCGCCGATTCGGCACTTCCAACTGGCGGTTTTGTTGCTTCTTCTGGGCTCGAGTCTGCAGCACAAACGGGGTATGTCCATGACGTTGCCTCGCTTTCGCTATTTGTTTCTTCGAGTATAACAAATTACGCGTACTCTGCACTACCTTTCATGAACGATGCTTGGAAGGTATCTTCTGCGAATATAATTGGAGAAGGTACACATGAAGAGGAAAGATTATTGCGAGAAATAATGAAAGTTGATGATTTATATGATGCTTGTACGAGTAATACAGTTGCCAAACGAGCTTCTAAAGCTCAAGGTGTTGCTATGCTAACATTATTTGGAAAATCTTTTGCCAACGAGGATTCGAAGGGAGGGAAGGTATTGGACAAAATTGTAGAAAAATTTAAATTCGAGATAAGACGTGGTATAGCATGTGGTCACTTACCTGTGTGTTTTGGGATGGTTGCTAGCTGTCTTGGTATAAGTTTAGGTAATCTTACGTCGAAAATTCGATTCGATTTTTTTCATCTTATAATATTGAAATTAATCAAAGACGTGTTTGCAATAACAGAACGTGCGCAACATTTATTTCTTTTTCTTTTTGCACGGGCAATTTTGTCTGCAGCCGTACGACTTAACATCATTGGCCCATATTATTCACAACGTATGCTAACTGAAAGTCAAGCGTATGTGGAAGAAGCTTTAACAAAGACAAAAGATCATAAATCCGAAAAAGCTGTACAGACCTCCCCTTTGTTAGATATTTTTCAAGCAAGACATGATAAATTGTACTCTAGATTATTTAATAGTTAACGTAGTGGGATGTGCAGGATAATTAATATACATCTATCAAAAGATGTTCTTCGATTATCTGATCAATTAATCTAATATAGTTCACCTCCAAAGTATACTGAACAAATGCGTCTTATATCTATTTACCAAAAAAATTTCTATATACACGGACGACCATTCACTTGTCCACAATAACAGACCATTCATGTGATATCTCCCCATATTGAATACCCATCAAGACATCCGCAAATTTTTTAGTGATAGGGCCAGCATTGTTTGATGGATCTTTAGGATCTAAAGGCACCTTGATATCGAGATTTCGATATCGAATTTCCTTAATGGGGCTCACGATACATGCAGTGCCTGCTCCAAACATTTCAAGTAAACGACCTTCCTCGGACGCTTTTATAATTTCATGCATTGTTATCTTGCGCTCAGACACTTTATACTCGTTCCATGATCGAGCGAGACTTAATATGGAATCACGCGTCACGCCAGCAAGTATGGTACCATCGAGTGGCGGGGTAACCAATTCGGTTTCTTTTCGTTTCAAATAAAAATATTTTTAAGTAATCGAAAAAAAAAACACTAGTTAATAAGATATCATCAAAATATTACTTTACCGCCATGTTCATTTTTCAGATAGACAAAGCAATTCATTGTTCCTACTTCTGTAACCTCATCATCTTCACCGAATAACCATAAATTCTGTTGATAACCTTTAGCGGCTGCCTCAATCTGTGGTTTCACACAAGGAGAATAATTTCCACCAATTTTAGCGTCACCTGTACCACCAGGCCAAGCTCTGACATTTTCTGTGGTAGCCAATAATTTAACAGCGTTAAAACCAGTTTTATAATATGGTCCCACAGGACAACAGATTACAAAGAGAAGAGCATTTGATGTTGGTCCCACGCCGAGGAATGCCTGTGTCCCAATAAGTGTGGGACGAATATACAATGAATATCCACGCTCTTGAGGAATCCAATTTTCTTCAACACGGATGAGTTCCTTGATGCATTCACCCAATTCTTCGCCATTAAAAGTCTAAGAAAAAGATTAAGATTAAAGAATACGTACCAGGTAAGATTCAAAAATTCAAATGTCAAATAGTTGGACTGAAATACCAACTTATATTATTCTCATTCATTGTAAGAGCCCTTGAGGATAATTATCGAAGGTAAATTCATGCTTCCTGCAACATTAATCTTAGAGCTCGCAATCGGATGTATTCTGATATCTTTGTTTAATTCTCAATATAATTTGTGCATGTTTTTTCTGCCTAAATATATATATATTATAAATGATAACATTTTAAAATAGAAACTCACCGGTAGTGCTATTCTGTTGGCAGATTTGACGAATCTCTTCATATTCATATCCGGTCTAAATAATCTTATCTTTCCTTGTTTATCCTTATAAGCTTTCATTCCTTCGAAACATTCAAAAGAATAATGCAATACAACTGAACTAGGATCGAGGGAAAGTGGACCGTATGGCTTGATTAAAGGGTTCGACCAGCCAATTGTTCCCTCCCATTCAATGCTGAGCATATGGTCTGTGAAGGAACGACCAAACACTAAATCTTTATAGGGAAGAGGCGGTTTCAAGTTTTTTGAGCGTTCGATGCGAATATTCTTGTGCTGTAAAAAATAGTGACACAGGCAAAGTCAGCGCAAGAAGTCCCAGGTTCTCATGAGTATATATTATGAGGAGAAATTACATCAATATCCGGCAAATTGCCATTTCCGGTCGAATACGATATAAATCTTTTAGAGTTAGATAGAAGCAAATTTGTCAAAATTCTAGGGAAAACGGGTAATATCGTCGTTGAGGTTCGAAGAGTAGTATTCAGTAAAAATGATTTTGAAGACAAAGAAATCATCTCGAAATTCTGGCTCCTGTCGAGCCCATTGTTTCAACTATTTATACTTTTCTCGTATAATCAAGGATGAGACATCATTAATTTCCTTGTTTGTCTTAATTAAAAAATTACAGATCTTCAAATTGCAAGAAAGTATCGCCCCAACTAGGACTCGAACCTAGAACCTCCGCCTTAGGAGGGCGACGCCATATCCATTAGGCTATTGGGGCTTGTTTGCAGCACAGCAATTTAGAGATTTTTTATTTTTTAATTTTAAATAATTATAATCGCGTAGTTTAAACTATATCATATGACCTCTAGTTAAACCTAAAAGAACGCGTATCCCACTTTCTATTGTCAAAGTTTGATTCAACCTCTACTTGTTTCTCAAAATGGTTCTTCAATGGGTAGATAAACATCGACCTACCTCTCTAAATGAGTTGAATTTTCATAACGATTTATCACAAAGACTCAAAACTTTGGTAAGTGAGGCAAGGTTGACTGCCACAATGATAATGAGAATTTTCATATTTAATCGTCAAATTAAGATAAAACTAGCTTCTACAGAAATGATAAATGATGATTATCATTATACTTATCTTAATAATGAGTTTTTTATGTCAATTCCCTCTGTAACTTATTAATACTTGTAGCGTTCACAATTAATAAATAGGCTTCGGATGGTGATTTTCCACATTTGCTAGTTTATGGACCATCCGGTTCTGGAAAAAAGACACGCATCAATTGTGTCATTAAGGAGCTATTTGGTGAGGGTGTTGAAAAGGTTGGTTGTTTTCATCGTTCAAAATGTTGTTACCCGATTTTTTGATTTATTTGCATACTTTCAGATCAAAGTAGACGAAAGGATATTCCAGACATCATTGTCAACTAGGAAACAGGAATTTCACACAGTTTCCAGCATCTATCATCTTGAAATGACACCAAGGTGATTTATTATCTAAATGTTTTTATCGATTCTACTTGATTCATTAAATAATATAATTTAAAATGTAATGTTCAGTGAAGTTGGGAATTTTGATCGAGTCGTTATTCAAGACTTGTTGAAAGAAATCGCACAAACACCACAACTGGATTTTAATGCCAAACATCAATTTAAAGGTAACAACTCTTGGTTTAACCTTTTATACTTTAACGGATCTCTGGCTGGTGATCTAACATTGATTAATTTGATTTAATAATCAATTAAACAGTTGTTGTAATAAACGAAGCGGACTCTATGTCTCATGATGCTCAAGCTGCTCTTCGCCGTACTATGGAGAAATATATGGCAAATTTGCGGATAATTCTCTGCTGTAATAGTTCAAGCAAGATAATTTCACCGATTCGGAGTAGATGTTTATTAGTTAGAGTGGGATCTCCATCAACTGATGAGGTTTGTGCTAGATTTGATCGATGATCTTTCGTGAGAATGTGATTAATCTTTTTTTTTGATTTCAGGTAAAGAAGATCCTTCATATTTTTTCGAAAAAAGAGAACTTTCCACTTTCTTCCATTGTCGCCCAGAAAATCGCAGAGGAATCCGATGGAAATTTACGTAAAGCGATATTAATGTTGGAATCACTCAAATTTACCAGGTTCAAGATTCGAAATCAATTTTATAATATTGGAAACATCATCTGGACCTCATTTATAATTCATTTTTATTTATTTAACAAGTGGAACCGATTTCCCAAAGGCGGACGCAATAATCAAACTTGATTGGGAGGTCTATATTAGTCAAATAGCTAAAGCTATGATAGCAAATCAAAGCGAGACAAAGTAAATATTTTTATATTTGATCTTTTTACATTTGAATAATTAAAATTTGTAATAACTGATCGATTTTATTTAAAGTCTCGAATCAATCCGGAAAATGTTTTATCAACTTATCTTTTCATGTATTGAGCCATCTCTAATTATAAAGGTTTTCTTTTATTACAAATGAGCTTTTCAGGAATTCAGTTATATTTTCATTCTACTGATAACCCTTTATGTTTGTTTTATAAAAATAGACACTGGCATTCGAATTGGTAAAGTATATTGAACATGAGAACGTAAAATGTCAAATAATATTGGAGGCTGCAAATTACGTAAAGATTATTTACCAATACATGGTCTTAATATTTATCCATGAAAAACATGCATTAATTATCGGGTACTTGTTTCAGGAACATCAACTTCATCTTGGGCAGAAAGCGATCTTTTATCTCGAAGCTTTTGCCATTAAAACCATGCATATTTACAAATGGTAATTTTTAGCTTAATTCATGTGATTTATTTTCTAATAATGCTAATGATAAACTGTTTCTTTTCTGCGTATTAGTTATCTAAATAAGTAACGGTAAATTTTAGACGCGCAGTTAAATTTAATAAATTTAATGACTCATTATTCACTCAATGTGGTTATATTTAAAATTGCTAAATATCGATATGATACCGATACACGATTAGTGATAAGGCGGTGCCTTAGAATGTGAAAAATGTGTAACGGTGTTTTTCCAAATCCTATTAACTCATTTTATAACCCATCTTGATAAATTGTATTTAGCGTTTAACGAAATTATCAAAAGACGAGCTTTGCAATAAGTGTCATCTATAATGTCAACAAAGCAATCGCTCTTCGGACTACCTTACAAATATGTTAGTCTTATAACTTTAGTTGTTCAAAATAGCACGTTGGTGATAGTAATGCATCGCTCGCGTGTTATGGTCCCAAAAGATCAACAGTACTTTGCCTCTACAGCGGTATTCCTAGCCGAACTCATCAAATTATTTATATCGTTATACATGGCGGGACGAACACAGATAACAGAAAAAGGCTCATTGAGCATTTATGACTTATATCAGGACATATTTTCTAGTGACGCTTGGAAGTTAATGATACCAGCAGCTTTATATACGATACAAAATAATTTACAATATGTGGCGGTAAGTTTACTAGACGCAGCCACATTTTCAGTGACATATCAACTCAAAATCCTGTCGACCGCATTGTTTTCGGTTATCTTGTTGAAGAGATCATTGAGTGGATTAAAATGGTTCTCGTTGGTTTTGCTTACATTTGGCGTGGCACTTGTTCAATTCCCATCAGACAAGAGCACAAATTCAGCGGCGGAAGATGACGATGAAGGTATGGAGAGATTTGTTGGACTTGGTGCGGTGGCTGTCGCCTGCATAATTTCTGGGCTGGCTGGTGTTTATTTCGAGAAGGTCTTGAAAGGTACACATGCAACTGTATGGACCAGGAATGTTCAATTATCACTCTTTTCTTTATTTACTGCGTTGATCATGGGTGTATGGTGGAAAGATGGTGCTAACGTTGCTGAAAAGGGATTCTTTTTCGGATATAATATGGTTGTCTGGTCTGCAATATCATGTCAGGCTATTGGTGGGATAATTGTCGCGTTGGTAGTAAAATATGCTGATAATATTCTCAAAGGATTTGCCACTTCGATCTCGATAATTCTTTCGTTTTTGGCGTCCCTTTGGATCTTCACCGACACTAGTATTTCAATAACATTCTTGGCTGGTTCCGCTCTAGTATTGGCCTCTACTTATATGTATAGCTTACCTGATGCCCCCATCAATAAAGACACAGAAAATGATCGTGACGGAAGAACTGGTTATACCAAAGTGGAACAGATTGATCTTCACGTGGAAAAATAATTAGTGACTATTTTTTTTCTTTCTTCACAATATGTACTATAAAACTGTAATCTACATAGCATTCTTCATGTATTGCTTAATTAAAGCAAATATTAATTTTTTATTTATTTATTTTTAATCATTTAATGCGAACACTACAGTCAGCGAATATGTCATCAGTGTGTACTTTTTGATCCGCGACCTGAATTGGATCTGTGAAAACAATTACTATCATTTTTTGCCATTCCCGAAGCTTTCATTGTCAGGTTAGAAGATTCTCATAAGAAAATTTTGTTTCGGAATTTTTATTTTCACAAATATAGATGAAAAAGGTGTTTTGGCGAAAGTGGGGGTATTGTGATGAAGTCACATTATTTCGAAAAGTATCACACATATAAGATATCCTTAAAAAAATGTGTAGTGATAGTTGATATGCGTAATACCTTTTGATATTCATCTTCATCACAATATCCATATCTTTTGACAAATAATTATTTTTTAACTGGTAATATTTCAATTTTGAATTAATTTTTATATAGTGATAATCAAAAGAAATACACAGGTTCGAATTATTAATAAAACATATAAAACATAATTATTAAAATTGAAGATTCTAATAAAAAGTTCTATTTTATTATATATAAATAGAATTTTTTAATTAATAATTTATATTATTAAATTATTTTTAAAAAATAAATTTTTATTTTGTAAATTAGTGCTGGTTATAGTAATATAATCAGTGCAGAAAAGAAATTTTGAATTACAATAATGACCAAAAGTAATGACTTAGGAGCTAAATTTATTAATAAAATATAGTGAAAATTGAAATTTTCTCTATATTAAAATTTATAATTTTATTAAGAAATAATT